TGGCATGATAGATGGAATTTTTTCAATTATGGTTTAGGTCTTTCAAAGTTGAATTGAGTGTTGTATAATTTGTTATCTTTGTTCACAGTAAGAATAATGTTTATGTTTGAATTTTGATTATTTTTTTCTTTCGAAAGCCGCGTGCAAACTGATTTTTCAGTTTTTGCGGTTACCCCAATGCGCCAGCTCCTGGTACTGATCATATAGAAATTAGTTATATGGCGTGTTACGGGAGTTTTTGTTTTTGTTTATTTATTTATTTATTCATATTCGGGACACGTACAGGAAAAATCCCAAAAAAGTGGCCACTACAATAATACAAAGGAAAAAAAACCAAACTACATAAGAAAGAATAAAAACAAAAAAAGACATCGAAAGCATGAAACAATAAAAAATTGAATTAAATTAGCAAGCACGAAGCAGAAAAGAAAATAAACAGAGACACTAGATTGGTCCACATAATCATCGATGTTACGCGAATAGAAAAACAGAATAATAAGGACTATAAGAAAGGACAATTTTTGTTGCTTTTCTTTTCTGCCCCACCACTCGCAAGAAATCAATTTAAATATGCTAAACGAATGTGTATCGATTGAGTAAATTAATTTTACAAAGCAAAGAAAAACTAATGACAAATACTTAAAGTTAAAACGGATTTTTTAAACGACATNTGTGATTGGATGAAATCACTTAATGATGGCATGATAGATGGAATTTTTTCAATTATGGTTTAGGTCTTTCAAAGTTGAATTGAGTGTTGTATAATTTGTTATCTTTGTTCACAGTAAGAATAATGTTTATGTTTGAATTTTGATTATTTTTTTCTTTCGAAAGCCGCGTGCAAACTGATTTTTCAGTTTTTGCGGTTACCCCAATGCGCCAGCTCCTGGTACTGATCATATAGAAATTAGTTATATGGCGTGTTACGGGAGTTTTTGTTTTTGTTTATTTATTTATTTATTCATATTCGGGACACGTACAGGAAAAATCCCAAAAAAGTGGCCACTACAATAATACAAAGGAAAAAAAACCAAACTACATAAGAAAGAATAAAAACAAAAAAAGACATCGAAAGCATGAAACAATAAAAAATTGAATTAAATTAGCAAGCACGAAGCAGAAAAGAAAATAAACAGAGACACTAGATTGGTCCACATAATCATCGATGTTACGCGAATAGAAAAACAGAATAATAAGGACTATAAGAAAGGACAATTTTTGTTGCTTTTCTTTTCTGCCCCACCACTCGCAAGAAATCAATTTAAATATGCTAAACGAATGTGTATCGATTGAGTAAATTAATTTTACAAAGCAAAGAAAAACTAATGACAAATACTTAAAGTTAAAACGGATTTTTTAAACGACATCATTGAATTACAAAAGAGATCAATATTGAAACAATCAGACTCAATAGTTGTGTTTACTTATGTTTACTATTAATTTCTCTGTAATTTCTCTCTGTAAACTGGATACAAAGATAAATAATAATAATAATAACTAGACATTTTGGCAGCCAAACCTATTTTTAGTTATAACTTCGTAATGATGCATCCCATAATTTTGATTTTCTAGAACAATAACTAGAATAACCCAGAACCACAAAGAAAATCAGATTTTTCCAAAAATGGAGGGTTTGTGAAAAAATCCGTTTTTTCGATTTTTTCGCCAAGTTTTTAATTTTTCTATTTGCCGCTTTGGAACAATGTGGAACAACTCTAGAACAATCTAGAACAATAATGAAAAATTTAAAAATCAAAAATGGGTGGCTAACTTCAGAATACGTTTGAAATGTCAAAATATTAGGCCTTTTGACTATATGGATTCCCCAAAAAACTCACTAGATTCTTTGGATATCTTAAGGATTTCCTAGCTGTGAGATAACTTGACGTGGTAGGACGACCGACTCCGTAAACTATTAGTTTAGCGGTATCTTAACACGTTGACTGCAAACTACGAGATAACTCGTAGTGTACGTTCTGGCCTAGGACGCCAAGTACGAGTTATCTCGTAGTTTGTTTATTTTCCATAACCGTACAGTTAGCATTATATTTTAAAAAAACAAATGTTTCCATGAACAGAAAATTTATTAATAAATGAACAGAAAATATAGTACTATCTGATTTATACAAAATCATTATTGTCTTTATACAAAATAATACGTTTATTGTTTATGATACTTTTTGAAACAATCTTCCACACAAAGAGCTGGTTTCTCTGCACAAACTGGGCAGAAATAACGCGTTTCTCGGCGTTGTTTAGCCTGAGTACAAATTCGACATGGCTTTGTGGGCCGCTGTTTTTTCTCGCTGGGTGGACTACACTCCAAATAATGAAGATTTTGCAATCTTATTTTCTCCGCAACTGGTTGAAACTGTTCTCCCATCAACGCAATGACAAATTCTTCCCTAAATTTTATTAGTTTTATTTTAGATGCAGTTATTTTTTGAAATATTTTATGCGCATTGTGTATATATATTTCTATAATGTGTAAAGCAACCTTTTTAGGCCACCTAATAGTTTTTCTTAGGCATGTGTAGTAAGCCAGCATTTGATCTGATCGATCAATACCAGACATTCCTTTATTATAATCTCGAATTATATTTGGTTTCGTCGAAAGTTTACCATTGCGATTGGATACCTCCACCATTTCAACAACATGCATGTTTGAAATAGTCAAGACTTCTCGTTTGTCTTTCCGTTTACATACAGTAACGGGACCGTTTCGCTGCCATGTAACTTCCCCTTTTTTCAGCTTTCGATTTATCACATCTTGGGGATTCTCCTTTCGGTTCTTTCGTAAAGTTCCACATACATAAGTTTTTCGGGTTGTCAGTAATTTTGTAAGTGTAACAGAATTATAAAAATTGTCCATGTGTAGTGTATATCCCTTATCGAGATAATCTTCAGCTAAATGTAAGACTATATCAGTTGTGTGACCTAAATTATTGTCAGTTTTCTCAGATTTTCCGCTATAAATTCTTATTTTCATGACTCGCATAATTCATACAGTTTGATACCATATTTATGTTTTTTATTTTTTATGTATTGGCGAAAATATAATCTTCCACGCCATAGCAGCATTGATTCATCAATACAAATATTTTTATTTGGCACGTAGTTTTGGCTCATAATATCATTGAAATGATTTAGTATAGGTCTTACCTTATATAATCTATCAGAAGATGGTACTGAGTTATCAACTAAGTGAAAATAACGCAGTAGCAATTGAAATCTATTTCGACTCATATGCGATCGCCAAAACATTACATTATATAGTTTATTTCTACTCCAATAATGCTCTATTGAAGGAAATGTACAAGGGCCCATTTGTAACAAAACTGCAATAAAAATTTTCATTTCTGACACTGTTACATCTATCCACTGTGACGCCCTGTTAGATTTTTTTATCTTTTTAAGATTTGCAATTTCTTGCTTAGCGTATAAATTAGTTGCTCAATAATGCAAGAAACTCCTCCGAAAAAAATAAGTCTACCAGCGTTTGCACTGTAAGATTTGTCGTTTCCAACTTAAAACCAACTTTTTCTTGGAAAACAAATAATTCAGGGTTTTGTGGAATTTCTGTCCACAAATTGTCACCCGTACTTGATGTGCTTGCTTCGGACACATCATTATTATCTTCAGTTTCGGAGACTACTTCATAATCACTGTCCATTGAATTTTCAGAAAATTCGGAATCGCTACTGTCGTTACTACCCTCGTCCAATTGTGAATCGCTGGGATTGTCGTAAAAACCAACTTGTTTTTCAGTCCGTCGTCGTTTCTTATCCATATTGAGATATTTATAATTAATTAATAATATTAATAATAAATAAAAATTATAAAGATACACACTCAAGAAAGACGTAAAAACGTAATGCACTCCCCTATATCTGATTTTCTACTGACGAAGTTAGACGCATCAAGCGACAAGTCGAAACGTGCTTGGTATGTACGAATTAACTCGTAGTTGGCTTCTGCGAAGAGTTTTTTGTAACAGAAGCCAACTACGAGGTAATTCGTATGATCGTTATTTTCTAAAAAACACATTCCCTACGCTTTTTGATTATTTATATTAACCCTAATTTAGAGTTTATAACAGAATAACATAATAAAATTAATTTGTCTTTTTGGACCGGAATCCTGAAAATTGTCGTGGCAGTCAACGTGTTAAGGGTTTAGGTTACCTAATAAATGCCAGCGGTTTGGTAGTAACGGGCCTAAATGTCAGGATACTGTTTTGATTATGTATACATTGTTTTGTTTTTATTGTTTTTTGTTTGTTTGTTGCAAAATAGTATGAGAAAAGTTTAATTAGACATTTGGTTCTTCCCACATAGATATGGGTACATGTTTGTAACAAATAGAAAATATGTATGTATGTATGTATATGAGAGGTAGTTAGTCAATAAAACGGCGGCGTGTAGGGGCGTCGAGGGGTAAAACGCGTGGAAAGGAGGCGGCTGCGGGCGGTCCGTCGCCGCCACCGATTCGGCCCGCTTTTTAGGCCTCCAGGTGTCGAAGTATCTCTCGCGTAATTAGCGTGCGTCTATCAGCGAGGCCGCGATCGGTCCGAACCCGTGGAGTCCACGCGGTCTGCGGCCGCTATGGGTTGGGTGGGGGCGGTCCCGGCGTCCTGGTGGGGACCCGTAAGGCGTGCGCGAGAGGTGGGTCCGCGGACCTCCCGTCCGACGCTCGCGCCAGTATCGCCCCAGCTGCTGTGGTGACGCTTTGTCCGCCGCGCTCTCTCTAAACGTCGACGACGACTACGACGCCGACAACATATCGACGCAACAACAACCCCACGTGGTGACGCCGTCGCCAATCGCGCAAAGACCGACCGACCGCACTTGTTCGCTCACCTTTTCTTCTTATTGTTAGTGACTGTTCTCCCGATAGACTGTTTAAATGTGTGCGTGTGAAAACTAACCACCCTCAATAATAACCAAATCGACAGTTTCGTTGTTTTTTTTTGTGTTTCGAAACTTTGGTGCTCGTTACAGGTGACCGCGATAATAAACGCCGCCAAGACGACGTCCGAAACGGAAGACGCCATGCAGCACCAGACGGGCTCGCCCCAGCAGTTCTGCCTGCGTTGGAACAACTACCAGAGTAACCTGACCAACGTCTTTGACCAGCTTCTCCAGAGCGAGTCGTTCGTAGACGTCACCCTCGCCTGCGATGGTCACTCGGTCAAAGCTCACAAAATGGTCCTGTCCGCGTGCAGTCCCTATTTTCAATCGTTGTTCTTCGACAACCCCTGTCAACATCCGATCGTGATCATGCGAGACATCAAATGGCCCGAACTGAAAGCGGCCGTCGAGTTTATGTATAAAGGCGAGATCAACGTCTCCCAAGAACAAATCGGACCGCTTTTAAAAGTCGCGGAATCCCTGAAGATCCGCGGTCTAGCCGATGTAAACGGTGAGCAAGACGTAATAGGCACCACGACACCCACCACTCAGGCTGCTGCCGGTGAGGTCACCAAGACCCCAACTCAACAAGCCCCAGAAACCCCAGAATGGGAAAGCCGTCCCGAAGGTGGCGAGAACGTGCCACCCAGGACGAAAAAGAGACGAAGATCGGGCGAAAGAAGCAGCCTGAGTAGTCCGGCAGAGAGCGCGAGCATTGATATGCCAGAACCTGCCCCGTCTGTCGAAATGTCTCCAGCACCACCCGCGACACCCTTGCCTACGCAAACACCCCAAGAACCGCTACCGTTGACTCTTCCGATACAGCATCCATCGCATTCTTCTGACGACATGGAAATCAAACCTGGTATTGCTGAGATGATTCGCGAGGAAGAACGGGTAAGTACCTAAATTTAAATTTAATCTTTTTTTAAACCTCGTAGTCTTCGTTTTTCCCCTATAATTACTACCACAAAATTTTAATTGAAAATTCGATGACTATGCAGAAAAATCTTAAAAAAACCTGTTCATAAAATCATCTCCATTCATTTCGTTTTCAAAATATTTTAAACTATCAAAAATGATAACTCCACAAAAAAGGTTTCAAAACAAATCCAACTTTGTAATATTGTCTTACTGCACTTCATTATTTATAAATGAAACTCTGATGACTTGACAAAAAATTGCATCTCTTTGGGACCTTTTGATAAGAAAAATTAAATTTTACATCATAATTTGTAAACAAAAACTTTCTTATGTGAGAAATCCAACTTTGTAATATTGTCTTAGTGCACTTGATTATTTATAAATAAAACTCTGATGATTTGGCAGAAAATTGCATCTATGGGAGCTTTTGATAAAAAAAATTAAATTTTACATCTCAATTTGTGAACAAAAACTTTTTTATGTGATTAATCCAACTTAGTAATATTGTCTTAATGCATTTGATTATCTATAAATAAAACTCTGATGATTTGGCAGAAAATTGCATCTTTGGGAACTTTTGATAAGAAAAATTAAATATTTCATCTTAATTTTTGAACAAAAACTTTCTTATGTGATTAATCCAACTTTGTAATATTGTTTTACTGCACTTGATTATTTATAAATGAAACTCTGATGACTTGACAGAAAATTGCATCTTTGGGAACTTTTGATAAGAAAAATTAAATATTTCATCTTAATTTTTGAACAAAAACTTTCTTATGTGATTAATCCAACTTTGTAATATTGTTTTACTGCACTTGATTATTTATAAATGAAACTCTGATGACTTGACAGAAAATTGCATCTCTTTGAGAGCTTTTGATAAGAAAAATTAAATATTTCATCTTAATTTTTGAACGAAAACTTTCTTATGTGAGAAAGCTTAAATTATTAATTTAAGAACAATAGAATATCTTACTCATCAAAAAATCCAGCCTAAAACAAAATTAAAGTATGTTGACATTCCATAACTTATCTCTCTCAACCAAATATACATATAGTTATAAAAATAGACAGATAAGATTCCCCGAAAAAATAAACATTGAAATCGTTATCGTAATAGTTACGATTTAAATAAATTTATGTAAATAATACCCCGGGATAGATAGTATGTGCTTCGTGTGCTTGTTTGTGAGCTTATCCAAAACCGAACAGATAACAAAAACCAGGAAAAAACAACAAATTCAATCGCTGTAATTTATTACATTTTATTTAATTTATTTGTAAATATACGAATTAATTGGTGTGGCCACAAAGTTTCGTCTTCGCGCATCAAAACACGCTCCTCCGATTGCTATTTTTAGGATGTAGCTTTAAATAGTTGTTGACCTGTTGTGCCGCATCATGTGTCAAAACCATTAGCGATAAATAAAAATGAATGAATGATGTCATTACTCGCGAGGAACTAGAGATTGTATTTCGCGATGTTGGCATAAAAATTAAAAAAAAATCGACTGTTACAAGTTAATTAATGGAACGTTATTAACGTAATTAACGCGAATTCATAATAAGATTAAGAAATATTTTTGGCGCCTAGTAACTAATTAGTTGATTTACTATTAAAGTTGAGATTAAATAATCGAGTAATTATTAATCCCGAATTTAATCTATTGTAAAAGTAATTTGAAGATAAAGGCTTTCTAGAAAGGTGGTATTTAATGAAAAAATTCTAAATGAGAAATAAAAATTCTTGAGATAAAATTTTTTTTAAATGTGTATTAACAAAATGATTAATAACGAGATATTTCATAACATTGTTTTTGAAAATATTAAAATTTTATTTTGTATTATTTTATCGAAGACCGATATGATGTTGTTTAATTTAAAACGTAAACATAATATATATATTAAAAGATCCACGAACTCCGCAATCTTATTTCGGGTTGAGGACAATTAATTTAAATTTTTAAGCGCAAAACAAATTAATTTAAATCCGCTATTGAAAAGAACAAAGAAGGATTAAAATAAACTAAACTTTCGAGGGTGGGTGTTTAAAAGATATAAAGCGTTAAAAAAGATTAATAAAAGAAAAAACAAAAACGGCGCCAAAAAACTGGTACTGAAAAGAAAAAAAAATTAAAAAAATGGTGAAAGAAAAGAAGATTCGAAGGCGCGAATCTCTATAAATATGCGAGAGCCAGTTATTCGTCTCGGTTTTCGTTGTTTTTCCGAGGTTTAAAAATACTCGTAAAAGTGGTAGTAGAAAGGGAAAACGACGGTAGAGGTTAGCGTGAGTCGACGGCGTCGGTTTCGAGCGTCGTCGACGTCGTCGTCGACCCCTACATCCCCTGGCGGCAGCGGGTTAGACGTGCCAGCTGTTCTACGATCCTGTTCCCAGTCGGTTCAAACGAGTCGAGGTCGTGTTTATAGTTTCTTGAATGAACCCAAGCTCAAACGTTTTGGTTCAATGGGAATTGATGTGAATCGATTCGTTTTAAAGGAGAAAGAAAGTACACTTTCTTAAAATAAATTTAATTAAATCGCATAAGAATTAAAACCTGCATTTCTTATAATTGTTTGTAGTTACACACAGTTCAAATAGAGTAAATCTATGTTTATTCTTTAATCTCTTTTAGTATCATCACTTTCATTTTTATCAACATTATTAATAATTTACTGTGTTAAAACAAATAATAGACTTCGTTTATCATCAACAGACAAAAATGTTGTTACATCCCGATATATAATGAATGAATTTTATGAAGTCGGCTTGTAAAGGGGTGAATATAAAGTCCGTTTCACTAACATTGATCGTTACTTCACAACTAAGATCATCCATTGAGTTGCGTTTTTATATATATTTACTTAAGTTTATTACACTTTAATTTTATAAAATAACCTGCGCGATTGATTAACTTGTTTCATTTATTAATTAGTATAAATACAGTTTGTAAGGATTATTTATTAATTCCATGCACCATTTACATACTTAAAGATCTGTCATTACGCAATTAACATCTTGTAACGTTATACAATCGTGACTAATATCCGTCTTAACCACTAAACTAAGTAATTTATTAAAAAAATAAAAATTAATTACGAGGAATTATTAAATTTGAGATTCATACATATTATCTCATCATAACCTAACTTGATACTTTTCTTTTTTGAGATGCAAGTTGTACTATATGGATTGAAGAATTTGAATCTCACGCATATTAAAACAACCACGCAGTTTTAAATGAACGATGAATTCGCTGTCTAAACAGCAATTATATCAAGCTTTTATGTTAGTAACACACCTTGCATGTCCCATAAATTACGTATTCCACCAATTAAAAAACGCAAATATTGATATCTCAACATCAAATTTTAACACGGTCCTCTTCAAATCGTCCGTGTGTTCCGACAATAATGTCAGCTTCGAGTTACATCCTGAATGGACTTCCATCTGGTTTTGAGTTCATTGTTAAATCACTCTCAATGTCAGCTGTTATGTTCTTGTACGAAATCAGGTTCGCAATCTGTTTAGCCATTTTTAAGATATTTTGCAAATTTTCAAAGATATTGAAATTTAAATTTTTTCCAATTCATATTTCAAAATTTTTTTATATTAGTTTTTGACATCGCTTAATTGGTTTAATTTAGAAATTTACATAAACCGCGGAATCAAGTTTTCAAATTCAAGTAGGAATAAAAACAGAAATGTCAAATTTGTTGTTAAATTAAATTGTTTCTAGAATTTCTATAAGCTAGAACAATAATAATTTCTAACGCAGTTGTAACACCACATAAATATAAGTGGAAATATTAATTAAAGTTAGTGGTAATAAAATAATGTAATGCATCAAAAAATAAACATCAAATCCAAGCTAAGATACATGCATCCAATTTTCTCTTTGTTGCGTTTAGATTGTAACGAGCACCCAGGCTAAAATATGCTGGTAAAATGTGGTACGCTACTAGCACATATTTTGCTACAACCCAGATCTTTTCCAAAAAATTGCGATAGACAACTCCTGCAAATCTGTTTAGCCGAAAACTATTTTCAACCACTCAGTCGGAGTTAGTCAAGTGTTCTAATTACTACAACTTAACAAGCGGTATCTATCTATTCTTACCATAATTTTGCCGTTGTAATTGTATTTGATCTTCCCGATCCTACAGCTTCTTTAATTATTGACCATAATTACTAGACGCTATAAACTTTTCCACTTAGCATAGAAAAAATTAATAAATCACAAATGAATATTTAACCAACAAGATAACAAGGTATTTCTGATATCCATTATAGTTGATAAGCTCAACGCAGTACACAGTATCTTTACTTAAACTACAAATAGTACAATAAATTTTTGATACGCAACAGTTTTTTCATTTAACCACTTGAATATGGTATCTCGTAATAATATAGATCTTCTAAGGTTTTGCAGTTACCACAACATTTACACAAAGGGGTATATCTTTTTAATTGATTTCTTGTTTTGATATAAGCTTGTATTAATTTATTGTTGATGATCGAAAGGATCGATTACAATCGAGGTGGTTTTTGGCCGATGCGCTCTTATGTTATACTAATGCCTAAGATAAAATTCTAGGGCCTTTCTATACCAAGTGTACAATGTCACAAAGGTTTTCTTGAATGTTCCATTTTTCTACTTTTTGGTTTATGTCTATTATTGATTCCTCCAACATTATAACCATCCCCATACAAGTATTTTGCTACTTTGGTCCACGTTTCCTGTCTGTCATGATCATATATTTTATCTGCCATATCTATTGTAATATTACATATTCTTCTATTTTGAGATAAAGTACTATTTCTTCATAACTCAAACTTGTAACATTTCTTTTGTACTATGAGTTTATCTTTTATGTGGCTCGTTCGTGTGGCATTCTTTTTTATTCAGAACGTAAATCTTTACACTTAATAAGTGAAACATACCCTTTATTCTTAAATGATTGATTTTCAT